AAGGGAACCATCATTTTGGAATCAAGGGAAAACAGCATGTTTCAGGACAAATCCAGGATGGCCAAGAAAATTTAGATGACTGCCTCAGTCTGGCTGGACACAAAATAACCGAGCACTTGTAGGTTCAAACAGGAACTCCTCTCACCAGCACTCCACTCTCCCCGGGAACTCTCTCCACCCTCAACCCGGCTCCCCAAGAACTCAATGGGTGCCGGAGACAGCAGGAGCCGTCCTATTGCCGGACAGCAAGGGTCCATATACAACTGAACACACAGCCTGTTTCAACCCAGCATCATCCAGTCACAACAATTATACACAGCTTAACTTAATTATCATCATCTTAATGGCTCGATGTCCTCACCTCTCAACCACTTCTTCTGGTAAAATGCCAGGTGCCATTCCCAACTCGGCTATGGCTCTCAATAGATGACATTACTTACAATGTTAAGGAAAGCAACTTCAGGGCCAGTATTCATCATATCTGGATTACTAAGTAAGGACAAGGTGCTTTTCAGGTGTTCTCATATGACACTGTCAGACCTGTTTCATGAGTTTCAGACCCAATAGCTGATGAGAAAGATACAATCAGAACCCAGTTGTACCCCTAAAATATTTCTATTTTTACTCTTGAAAATCCGTTATTAATATTAATCATTTTATCAAAAATTCTACAATAAAAATGGGTATTTGAAATTTTCCAAGTATCTAATAAATCCATGGATGACTATTATTATTGATTTGTAGATGGAAACCATCCATTATCTCTCTCCAGCTGAAGATAGGACCGTTCAGTTTGTTCCTGACTCCTTTCCCACAATTTAAGGTGCAACAAATTATTCTTCACTCCTCTCCCCAACTTGAGAACCTGTCTGAATTCACCGAATCATTGTCCTGGCTGAGACTCTTATGTCCCTGGGGATGAAAGAAAAGAGGAGAGAGATGGTTGGTGCTAAAAGAGGAATATCAGGATGGGAGATATCTGCATTACCTTTCGGCTTTAATTGTAAGTGTTAAGCTCTACATGTGTGCTTCAATTGGCTGGCACACAAAATGGTTGAGGCCTAAGGTTCTTGCTGGCATTCCTCAAGAAGTTCTTCCAGATGAGGTTCCCTCAACAACAAAATGCTATATGTTAGATTGTAACTTATGATGCAGGTGTGCAGGAAAAAGAAGTTGAGCCTGAAATCTCCTAGTTTAGAGAGTGCTCAAGGGAAGCCCACAGAAAACAGCAATGTGCACAATGTGTAAGAGAGCTGACACCTGGACACCTGACACAGTGGAAGAACTGTTACTGAAGTAGCAACAAATAGAAGAGAGAACAGCCAATTCTTTATGGACAGTCTTGCAGAGATCATTCCTTCCCTTTCTTTATCCTCAGTTGGAAAGAGAGTTCAGAGAAGAGTGATATCATCACCGTCTTCCCCAAAAGCTGTTGTTGCCACATGCTCATCTGCACCAGGAAAACAGGAAGAACTATGAATTAAACAGGAGGTTAAATATTTTAAATGGTCAGGCTCTAAATTTTAATACTTGGAATGAGATTGTATTTATTAATTATCAATAGTGACTGCAAAATGGGTCTGGAGTTTGGATGCTCATAAGGGAATGCACTATCCAGAGAGCAAGAGGATTTCTAGACAATGGTAATGGTTATTGGGAAAAAAATTAAAACTATTTCATATTTATGATTCACAATTTGAGTCTTTTCACACTGGCTACATAATTTGAAATATAAAGATTTCCGGGACTGGAGTTGTGGCTCAGTGGTAGAGCTCTTGCCTAACATGTGTGAGGCACTGAGTTTGATCCTCAGCACCGAATATAAATAAAGAAGTAAATAAAATAAAGATCCATCAACAACTAAGAAAAATATTGAAAAAAGATTCCCTAGTTTATTGTTCATTTTCTCATTAAACAATAAGCACTGTGAGTCCAAGGACCAAGTCTATTTTGTTCGAAATTATATTTCTTGACTGTAGTACAAATACTCAGTAAGAATTTGGTGAGTAAATATATGATATTTACTCTACATATCATGTATTTACAATATATATTTATAAAACCAAGAAAAATGCACATAAAGTTATATTTGTTTGGAAACTTATACAGTATTATGGGACAGAATGTTTGTGTTCCCCAAAATTCATATTTTTAAGTCCTAATCCCCTATGAAATGGTCATTGGAGATGTGGGTCTTTGAAAGATAATTAGGATTAAATTAAATCATGAGGGCATGCTCCTAAGGATGGAATTAGTGTCTTTTTACAAGAGGACAAAGGAGAGCTCTTCTTCTCCCTCTGCATAAAAAGGCCACTCGAGGACACAGTGATAGGTTGGCCATCTGCAACCCTCACCAGGAACAGAATTGATTGGCACCTTAATCTTGGACTTCTCAGCCTTCAGAACTGTGAGAAATAAATTTCTATTGTTTAAGCCACCCAGTCTAAGTATTTTGTTCTGGCATCTAGAACTGACAAAGACAGTATTACTAGGAAATCACTGAAGAGAACATAACTACATATTTTCTTCAAGATCGCTTTGGTTGAATGTACAGAAAAGAATCAAAAAATACAAGAGTAGATTCTGGAAGACTATCTAGTCTTCCTATCTAGAAAGCTACTACAATAGACTGGGCCAGAGGTGATCTTAGCTTGGCTAGTATCACTGTAGAAGCCAAAAGAAATGAATGGATGTAAGAGATATTTAAGAGGGGCTGAGCGTGGTAGCATGCCTGCAATCCCAGCAACTCAGGAAGGTGAGTAACAGGATAGCAAGTTTGAGGTTAGCCTAGGTAACTTACTGAGATCCCATCTCAAAATAAAAAATAAAAAGGCCTGTGGATGTAGTTCAGTGGTAGGATACTTCTGGGTTCAATCACCATATTGTTGTAGGGGACAGACAAGGCACAGCACTAAAAATAGCAGGAAACAGTTTTATTTGGCTGCATCAGGTTCAGAGGGTACAGTTTTCACTGTAATCAATGAATCCTCTGAACCCCAAGTTCAGGCTGTTTTAGAATTTTATACCCAGCATGTAAGGGGAGGGGCTCAGAAGTCTATAGTCTGCAGAAACTCACATAAAAGCAGCTTTTCCTTTTACTGTTCTGGGCAAGTTAACCCTTCAAGGACTACACCTGAGAGGGTGAGTGCTACTTCTCCCTTTTCTTTCCTTCCCCTGCCAGCTGTGACCATGGAGCCCAACTGGTAACTTCTCTTATCTTAGAAATGTAGACATCTCTGTGAGGCTCCAGCTCAAGGCCAGAAGCCTTGTTAAAGAATTTGTCTTTTACTATCACATTTTGCATTTGTAAACACACTTCTACAAACTATTATACTGGATAAATATTTGTGAAAAACTAGTAAAGGGGTTGTCAGCACCTGGAATGCTGATTTCTTCCAGGCCAGTGGCCAAGTAAAATAGAGCAACAGGAAAATAGGAAATTTACCTAATTGAACTCTTTTGTAGAGACTCTTAATCCTGAGAGTCCTAAAGTCAATTTTGGTGAAGATTTCTGGAGAAGCTTAGTTAAGATTTTCTGTGGAGGAGGGGGTACCACTACAATACAGAAAAAAAGAAAAAGAAGAAGAAGAAGAAAGA